TCTCCCGATGCCTATTTCTTTCTCCCGCTCGACGCCCTCGCTTGGTCTTCCTTCTTTGCCTTTCACGAACGCCTGCTCCTTCGGCCTCCCTGCTCGTACTCGACTGAAGACTCCCCCCGTTCGACAGAAACTTCGTTCGACACCTGCTCCGCTCGACCCCAAACGCCTGCTCGCCCGCTCGCCTCCTCCTTACGCCGAAGACCGTCCCTTGCTCTCTCCCGTCTCTCGCACCGAAGCCGCAGAGCTCGATCCCGTCTCTCCTACGCTCCCGCTCCTCTGCGACTCGCCTTCTTCCCCTCTCTGTCGCATGCATCGAAGTCTCATCCTCCGTTCTCTCTGTTCGATTTTGTCTCCCACACGACGAAGTCACGCCTCCTCTGCGAACAGAGCCTTCGTCATCTCACTCGACCGAAGACCGAACCCCATCAGCTCGCCTTCTTCTTCCCTGGTTCGCTCGATTCGGCTCCGATATCAATCTCGTGATCCGACAATCCAGTTCTCGCTTCCGTCATCTCCTTCCTCGCTCGACAAATTCAGCTTCGCTCTCTTATCTACACTACACCGAAAAGCTGTGTTCGGCTCTCCTCCTCCGCTGTCCCGCTCTCCTCAGCACTGAGCCCGTCCGCCTGCTTCCCTCTCTCGTAAGACCGAAGCCCACCCGCTCGTCTTTCCTCGGCATGACAAGTCTCCCGGTTCAATTCTCTCCAACTCGCGTCTCCCCCTCACCATACATCTCTCTGAGCCACGGTAAGCAAGGTTTTACTCTGAGTCTTGTTGTTCGTATCTTCTCTATGTTTGCTGCAGTTTTTTTTTTTTATTTTAATTCCCATCATCTGTTGAATTGAAAGAGTTATTCTATAAAGAAAATCAAGCTTGTTGGTATGCTGTTTGGAGAATTTCCATGCATCAATGCTTGTTATTTTTGGGGTTAAAAGTGTAGTTGGGAGAAAACGGGAATACCTAGGCACCACATTGCTCTTAAAGCTTCCATTACTTTTATATAGATATTACAGGAGGCTTATTTATTCGTATGCCAATAATTGTGGCTATGAGGTGAAATTTTCAGCTAATCAAACGAAGGATGGTGCTTCTGGAAGTGATTGGGAGAGGCCTCATAGCTTGTTGAAATTATTTTCAGCTATTTAAAATATATGTTAGCTATTTTGAAGTGATTTAGAACACCTGTTTTAAGGTGGTTTGGAGGATGGTTCGCTGCAGTTTTTAGGAGTCTTTTAATGTACTGTTTCGGGATGGTTTATCATTGTTTTGGAGGATTTTGTGTTCCACTTAAATGCTGTTTGAAGTTGTCAATCACTGTAGAGTGTTGTAGGAGTGCTGCGATGTGCTGAAATTAATGATTTGGAGTGCTAGTTGCTGCCCACCACTATTTGGGTTTGTAGGAAGCCACCTAGTAGCTGTCCACCACTATTTGGGTTCGTAGGAAGCCTCCTAGTAGTTGTCCACCACCGTTTGCGTCTGTAGGAAGCCACCTAGGAGTTGTCCATCACGATTTGGGTTCGTAGGAAGCCACGTAGGAGATGTCTACCACGATTTGGGTTTGTTTGGAAGCCATCTAATTGCTGCCCATCTATGTTCGAATTCGTAGGAAGCCGCATAGGTGCTGCCCATTGTTGTTTAGGTTCATAGGAACTCATACAGGCGCTATTCAAAATTCCTAGCTGCTGTCCGGAGTCGTAGGATCACCGTACACATTTGCTAGTTGTTTATCGAAGCCGTAGGAGATCGTAGGATCACCATACTAGCTCGCTAATTGCAGTAAGGAGTGGTAAGAGACCTTAGGATCACCTCTTTTGGAATTCCTAGCTGTTACTACAACTTGTTCTATTGTTTACTGTTTTCTTTTCTTTGCAATTTATTTAAAATCCCTGCAAATTATGTTGTGCTTTGTGAGTTAAACATGCAATAGGAATTGCAGCAGCAGATACGCCACGTACGCAGGTACATTTTATTTGTTGTTTCTTTATTGCAATTACTCTTGCTCTAACACATTATGCAAGTACTGAATACAATCTTACTTTTAAAACAAATCATTTTTTTTTCAAAATTAATCAACATTTCAAAAAAAAACAAAACAAAACATAACACGTTCTTTCGAACTTACGGGAGTCCCTCGGAGGAGGTAACCCACAGTTGCTAACGAGATCTCCCCGGTTTAAATGGGTTTCACAACTCGTTTAAACTAAGTAAGTTCAAAAGAAAATAGTGATACCGGAATGAGGGAACCGTGGGATCCTAACCGGTGTCGCTCTAATCAACTTGAACCCACCATTGGTAACCAAACTGAGACATTGAAACACACCTGGTAAAACTGTTTGAGCTTTAGACTTTATGACTGTTACTGCGACAAGGAACTCGGAGCAACTTCGTGGGCAGCACGGCAAGGAGTTTGGAGCGAACTACAGGTGGAGGTGGTTGTCATTCTACAACAGCAGAATGAATCTACACCAACTAAACTTTCCTAGTTTAAACAACCTATAGGACTTTGAGGTAGCTCGCTTAGAGCGACGTAAAACCTAACCCTCTTTTAGGCCCCTGCACGACAATGTTTTACAGCGAAAGTCATAACTCGCCTTAGGTTCCAAGATTGTCATCTAGAATGACGTAAAACCTCTTATCTTTGCGGGCTATTTGCATAACCAGTTATTATGCAAATGTAAGTCTCAAATAATAAAATTGACGGGATTCAACATTCAAATAAAATTTTCTCTAAAACACAGCCACACATTATGATAGTTTGGGAAGTCACTGAAGGTTCTCTTCAGGATCTATGACATCCCCTACCTGTTCCTTTCTTTGGACTCGTAAAATAATTATTCCTACTTGAGCCATTTCCACTTGTTTTTTTTCACGTCCTACCTTGAAAACCTGAATTTTGAATTCTTGAAAACTAGAACCACTGATCATTATCGAAAGTGATTCTCATCACTTGGGATGTAATTAACAATAGGGGTTTGCCTTTATAGGGAACTTGAAACCTAAGTAAAATAAACACTATTTAATATTTGTATTAAATAGGGGAATTTGTTGGTCATATATAAAAGGTTCGCAGACCAAATGGATGTCACAAACCTCGTAGTTTGTATGATTGAGTCCACCGCCGCGGGGTACACTTATCTTTCGAGAAGGTGTATCATTTGTGGTACCTGACACGATTATACAAATTATTGGGCAAATGAGATCCAGTCGGTCTCATTTTTCAAAATTAAAATACACTATTTTCATAAATTTATATACCTTTTAGGTTAAATTAAATCATCTACTTTTCAAAACTATAAAAATACTTTTCGAAATCAAAAAGTTGCCGACAAGCGTACAGCCTCGAGGAGAAGCGTCGGTCAGCTCATCTCCTTGCGATTGGAGAGCCGAAAAGCCAAAGGGAAGCTCGAGGAGATGAGCCGCGAGCAAGAACATCAAAGGAAAGTCGCGTGGATCGCCCGCGGGCATCTAGGGCACGGGCGAGAGAGACGAGCCGAGCGCAAAACTTGTTCGAACCCGTGAAGTGGTCGAACGGAGAGTGAGAGGTGCGGGTGGAGACGTAAATAGGATTTAGGGTTTATTATGATAAATAGTGATGTGTTTAATTCTTGTATTGAAACATAACAAAATTAGTATCATTTTTAAGTAATTTTGACATTCCGGACGCGCTAGCGCAGTCCGTTTCGCTATCAGAGGTCATTTTGACAAATTCATTGATTTGCGTGACAATTTTCTCGTCTCCAAAACATGACAATATAGGTGTGTTTTCCTACCAAAATCAGTATCCTGAACGCATTGGCGCAGTCTATTTTGTCGTCGGAGGTCATCCGAAGAAGTTCGCATTTTCATCCGGCTTTTAGGTTCAATTGAAGACCGACTTCGTGCAATTTTGTGAATTTTATGCATTTGGTGTGTGTATGTGACGAAAAAGTCGTGACGATGCTTTCTTAGGGCCTGAAATCCTATTGGAAACTCCTCCCTGAGTCTTCACATAATAGCCCTTAACCTGCTTGTACATAAGACGATGGTTTTGGGCCATAAATGCTAGACATCACAGGAAAAATAGGAAGTATTTTTGGAATTTCTACAATGGTGGGTCCCAATTTTAGTTTTCTAAGATAGTCGATAGGAATTCCTAAAGCTAGATCTTAGGATCCTAGGAAAAGATAATGACCTTAAAAATGAGGTCAACAGACCCTTACACATTTTTTCTCGTATTTAGGTCATACAGTGTCGCTTCCAAGGAATGTCCTAGCATTTACACAATGATTATAAGGATTCATCTTATGATTTTTTGACAAATTGTTCGTTTGTTGTCGACTACCTAACAGAACCTTCCACTTTTCATATCCTGGGGACGCCCTAGCAAGCATGTACACAATGCTATTAGATCTCTTCCAATTAAATATATTACAAGTCACGATTGGGCAACATCACCTGTATCTCAGGCACTTTGGGGTCTTCAGTGTTCACACAAACCATTAAATAATTGAACTATATGAAATTTATAAGCATTTGTGTTCTCTTTCGATTTCTGGACTTCATATTTTGATATTGAAGATTTATAACGACAACTAATTTGATTGATTGCTAGTCAACTGATTTTCATTTCACTTTCAAATTTTATTGACCAGGCCCTTTAAAATACAAGTATGGAGCACCATACACAAATTTTATTGTAACTTGAAAATTGAAATCATGAAAACAACTAATTCTTATCAACTGGGCATCATGATATGCAAAGATAAAAGTTGAACCCATTGAAACTGGTTTATCTGTTACAATTTATTCGTGATGGACATGTATTTGTACAAACCAGGCATCTCCTCGGAAATCCACAGGGAGAAAAGGAAAAACCTTTTCCATATTTGCTTTTTTCTTATTTTTTATTTTTTGTTTAAGCAAGATCTTTTTCCGGTTGTTGCATAAGATCGATTCTCATGCCTTTTACTTCAAGTTATAAAACTGATAAATACTTGTGGACATTCATAATTTTGTTTCAGGAGTCCCGGAAAGATATTAAGCATAAGCGTCCCCACATTTGAAGCACTTACCCAATATGGTACAGCTATAGTGACAACAAAGAACATTGGTAAACTAGAAGCATCATATAGCCTAACAGTATGTTGATTTCCAACTGTTTATTTTTCAAATTGAACTTAATCATATTAAAGTTTTGAAATTGTATTTGTGCAAATGAGGCTCTGCTATCATACATAGATTGTTGTTGCCCTCTGTATGATATGTTAAGTATGAACTGATATATTTTGTTTTTAATATTCAATATTTGTGCTTTCTTGTTGCAATGATACTGGAACAAATATATTTTCGTGAACTCTTTGCTGTATTGGCAAAACTTTCCTGTTCACTTTACTCCATACAATTTGGACGCTTTTGTTGAATGCCTGTTGGCTTTATCTGGGCTTATATACTGCTGATAAGTTGTTGAGAGAGTATTGACTTATTTTTTCCTCAAATTTCTATGATATTATTTCTTCTTTATGTGTAGCCAGAATGCTTCATGCATCTTCTGTTGTTTTCAGACTGGAACCCATCATGCAGTTTTGAAGGGGATTTGTTTTGTCATGACATATGATGTTCTATATACGGGAACATGTACTACCATTAGAATAGTTTAATGAGGCATATGATGAAAGGGGATAATACATGGTATTGGGGAAAAACTTACTATTGAATTTGAATCAGCAAAATAATTTAAGGGTTGTCTTAATAAAAGGTTCACCTGATGCCATAGGCTTCATCTATGGGATCGCTGGAGGGGTTGATTTACATAGCATAAGGTAAGGGGGCTATGCTGTAAGCTGTAACCTTCAAATCAAGTGAGTGATGCGAGGGTGGGAGTATTCTCGCTCGGGCGGTGGAAAAGCCAACAAGCTGAACTGGCTGGCATAAGACACCGGTCTAGGTCTGGACCGGGCAGCTTTCCTAGGGGGTGGGACTGTCGATTTTCCACTTTATTCCTTTTCTTTAATGTTTTTCCTCTGAGGGAGTCTTTAAATTGTTGTTTTATGGATTGAGGGTTTAGTTTTTGCTTGTTTTGTTTCACAATTTTTCTTTAAGTTTTCTACTCACCCTATTAGGATTGTATCCAACGACAAGTGGTGCTTCTGCTGTAACCTGCTCCAAGGTGGTGTTGCATCTTCCTCTATCCTCTTCTTCAATCCTTCTCCTCCCCTTTCTCCTAGCCGCCGACCTCCCCACATCTTTCAGCCCTCTACCGCCATCTCCTCGTAGCCGTAACCTTCTGTCCAGCTCTCCTTACAACCTTCCAATCACCTATTCCTATCCTCTATGTTGCCTATCTTGCTGTCCAGCCCTCCCAGCTACCCGCCTGCATCATGTCGGCGACCTACAACAGTTCTCCTTGCTGTCCGACTCATTCCCCCATCAATCAACACCTTTTTCCACAATTCCTTGCAGCTTTTCCTATCGCCTCACTCTCCCAATTCACAAACCAACCATTAACCACCATTCAAGCCTACCCGACAACTCTCAACCTTCCCCCTTTCACCTTGCCGCATTATCAACACTATCACCGCCCTCGGATTTTCTCTTCCGGTCGTAGCATAGAGTGGCTTGTTCTTGTATTCCTTTTTTCGTTTGTCTTGTTGTAACCTTAATTCATGCTAGTAAAAAATTGCTTTGCGTTTGTGTTGATTTCCTAACTAGTTTCAGTATCGTTTGGTATCAAAGCTAGCATAACACTAGTTCTATGCTAGGGTTTCTTAGTATCTGCCAAAGACAAAAAAAATTTATTTTCTACCACTAAATACCCTTTCTACTTCCACAAATCTCAAACTCTAACCATGCCACCAAGAAGATATATGTCTGAGCCCACCCGATAAGAGATATAGCGAGTGCTCCATCACCTTCAACAGAGACTTGTAAAGATTGATGAGATGACCCAGGAGGAGGTTTGACTGAGTTCTGGAAATTTGAAGGGGAGAAAGAGAGGAGGATCTGAATCCCTTCCATAGGGATAATTTCAGCGATGAAGAAGATGGGCCGCAATATTTTGGAATTCAATATCAGAGGAGGCCTAAAGAAGGGTATATGAATCCCTTCCATTGCTTGTTATCTTGGGGGTCTAAGGCCAGCTATTAGCAAAGTGGTGCAGCTATAGCCTTATTCATCACTTACAGATGTCCAGTTCTTAGCATTGAAAGTTGAGAGACAGTAACAACAGAAGTAGAGCAAACAACCAACATCAATTATGCAGCCACTCAGTTGGAGACATGAACAAGAGCACATCTCAAGGAGTTGAGAGAGCTAGTTCAGATAAGGATAGAGCCATCCTTAATGAGAAGAAATTTAAGAAGAGTAGCATGCCTGCTACAACCTCTCCCAGAAAATATTTTAAATGCCACGGATTTGGACACATAGCCTCCAGTTAACTGACGAGTCGAGTCGTGTCTTTATCGAACAGGGTGTCATGGAGGAGATTAATGATGAGGAGAAAGCTGAGGAACAGGATGAGGTGCATCATTTGCCCTGAATTAAGAAGAAACACTTTTGGCTTGACGGATCCTACAGGCTGAGAATACGAGGGATCCGCAATGACTTCACAATATCTTCTACACCCACTACATGGTGAATAGAAATGCATATAGTCTCATTATCGATTGAGTGAGCAGCAACAATTTAGTGTCGACACAGATGATAGAAAAGTTGGAACTCACCGCTCAAAAGCATTCCCAGTCATATTCACTAACGTGGTTGAAGAAGGAGAATCGGGTTAGCATCGGCCGAAGGTGCTTACTAGAATGCTCAATTGGGGGTCAGCTAGAGGATCAGGTGTGGTGTGACATGGTCCCTATGGTTGCATGTCACCTTTTGTTAGGAAGATCGTGATAGTTTAGCTGGAGAACTCAGCGAAGGATTCAGAAACACATATTCTTTCACCAAGAATGGAAAACACATCATCCTATTTCCTTCAGCGGAGCCAGAGATCACAGGAGCTCTTACCAGCTAAGGAGCGTCACTGAGAACAGTTTTAGTGATGACAAAGGATGATAGAACTAAGTTACCCACTCTAGACACGTGACAGACAAAAAAGATAGGATTTCAGGGTCTTACAGTCAACACTGTACCGTTAGCGCCGCCACTATGCGGGAAGGTTTAAGTTATTCTCGCTTCAGACTAGGCTGGCCCGATCATTGGTTATTTTGGTAAGATTAAACAGTACATGCGTGGCATGCAACCCCAGAAGAGTGGATCGATATAGATGTATGCTCACTAGTGAAAAAAAATCCTCAGGTGTTTTTGGGCGATGATACAACCGACAGTGGGATATGCTAGGATTACAGACGAAGAACCAGAAACTTCGACAAATTAAGTCAAAACTCCTCTAATCCTAGGAGACTGATGTGAGGGCGGAACTATTCCCACACGTGTGCGGGAATGGCCAGCCGGCTGAACCGGCTAACATAGGGCACCAGTCCAGGTCACTGTTGGACCAGGTGGCTTTCCTAGGGGGTGGGATTTCCGATTCCCCCCTCTATTCCTTTTCTTTTCTTTTTTCCCCCTTGAGGAGTCTTTAAATTATTGTTTTCTGGATTTAAGGTTCAGTTTTTGCTTGTTTTTCTTTCAAAATTCCTCTTGGAGTGTTCTCCTCTCCCTTCTAGGGTTATATTCGACTACCCGACGACGGGTGATTTTTTGGTTGTATCTTACTCCAAGGTGTTGTATCTTCCTCTATCCTCTTTCCCAATTCTTCTCCTCCCCTTTCCCTTAGCCGTCGGCCTCCCCACATCATCCAACCCCTCTGCCTCCACCTCCTTATAGTCGTAACCTGCTGTCCAGCTCTCCCTACGGCCTTCCAGCTGCTGATTCCTATGCCCCTTGCTGCTGGTCTTGCTGTTCAGCCCTCCTAGCCACCCACCTGCATCCTTCCGGCCACCTACAGTAGCTCTCTTTGCTGTCCGGCTTATTCCCCCATCAACCATCACCCTTTTCCACTCTT